AGGAAGTTGCCCTTTATAAATGTACTAGATTTTGTATTTTAATTTTAATTTTAACGTTGCTAAGAAAGAGAGATTACGTGTCATACCAAATATAAATTTAGATGAAAATTTCACAAAATACTGCTACTTAATATAACCGGGTAGTTTCGGGCACAAGCACAATTTCGACAATTTCATTTCACAAAGTACGGTCGTTCAGAAAACAGGTCACATAGATAAACAAACTCTATTACGCGGAGTAAAGAACGTTGTACTAAATCGAGCTGATTAACAGTACAAACACCTTTGTTAACAAGGGTTTTAATTAAGTCCCCCGATAGTTTTATCGGAGGTTCTTTTGTGTCAAGTTCTCGGGCATGGTTAGGCTTGCCGAGTAAAATTGTCGTAGTAGACGGTGATACCATTGTTAGAACGCTTGCTGTTCCTTGAACCAGGCTGTCCATGAGATTTATCCGATTTCTACTGATTATTTTCAAAACAAGAGCAGTTTTAAACACTAATTTAAAAATATCATGAAAATACATTGATTAATGACAGTTTGGCCCTGTTTGGAGTCGTTCCACTAATTCCATGTGGATACAACCATAAATGAGACCTGCCAGATCATAACTGCGTGTCTTAAGTGGACGGTAAGAGTCCCTAACACCTGCTTGTTTGAGGATTTAGTGGCGGCTAAAGTTTATGCCACTGACTTTGTCTTTGACCCGTAAATGCCTGCGATTGATTTTGCCTATCAAAACGAACAACATTCACTACACCCCTCTAAAATCATATCATACCATATGTTGTCCACGGCCCAAATGTATGAAATATTCCTCCGCAGTTTTGGGGAGGTGTCCATAATGAAATTGATTTGTATTCAATGATTAAACCTTGCAGAACTTTAGGGTATTAACTCCGCTAGTTCAGCGACCTACATTATGTCTTAGCCACCGAAACGTATAACGTTTCTTACTAACTCACATTGATTTGTCTATTTCTACCGCAAAGCAGTAATGTATTAAGCTTGCTGCGGAAACTACAGACGCATGGAACTAGTCAACTTCATGTCTCTAGGTGACTGACGGGTGCAGTGGCAGTACCCCTCAGAGGCACTGCAACTACTAGCCGTGTCCTTAACCACCTGACGCATGACTTGTTCGTCCCGTTACTTGATATAAAAAAATAAACCTTCAGTTTGTCCCAGACAGTCTCTCACCAGGCACCGTCTGGTAGGTCCAAGAGTACTTGGGGCAACCAACTGGTTTTCGTCCAGTGAGCCGACCAAGACAGGCTATCTTCACGGTCCAATTCTCTCCTATTCTTTCAAAATGGCCGAACTAGCGAAGTTTCTTCGCTTTAGGAAAGGAAAATGAAAAAAAAACTATTTTTAGAACCGCAATCGCATATATTTACTTTACTCCTGGTCACGCACGGCTGACTGGAAATGGTAAAGTGTTTGAAAAACAAAATATAGCTTAGTTTCATTATATTATGTAACAATCGCGAAATTCTAAGAACTCGATCTGTTCGCTTCAGTTTCACTGATGATATTTATCTTTTTTTATAATGCCAAGTCAACGGGACAAGTCGTTCGTCAGGTGTAAAACAACACGCCTGTCCATAGCAGTTACAGTGCCTCTTAGAGCTTTAAATCGTAACGACCTGAGGGGCACTGCCACTGCGCCTGTCGCCCTAAGACATAAGTTAACAAGTCTCACGTGCCTGTAATTTCACTAACACCCTTACCCTTCAAAACCGAAATCTAGCAATGGTCACATTAATGCTCGGCAGCAGAAAAAAATAAGGTAACAGTACTTCCCTGAACGAACCCTTTCATAAGGAGCTCTACTGCTAACTGGACAAGTCCTTCTAAATTGGCATGCGTGCATAATATTCTCCAGTTGCCAAACAAGAGAAAAAAGCGTCAAACGAATTGCATTAACCGGTTTTCATTGAATCCCCACCTTTATGTGAACTCTCGTTTATCGAGCAGTTTGAATTAGTTTTAATTTACCGCTATCTTCATGACAATGGAGCGGCTAATTCGGCGGAGATCCTTCAAGAGATACGTTTCACACCGGGATTACACTGCTAATGTAATGTAATAGAGGGGACACAGAGACAACTGAAGGGGTTACTAAAATGGGAGCTGTAGAAGAAACCTTTTTACCGGAATTGACCGGTCCTAGAGCGCAATTTTATTTAAGAAAATATTGTATAGACACAATCCCATACTATGTAAGTTTTCATTGACAGCAGGTATTGCTATCCTTAAAAAAATGGGCTTTTATTTACACTGTCATCCTTGTAGTTATTACCACAACTATTACGTAACGGGACTAGACACAATATGGAAAATGAGAAGGTTTTTTTAAAATGAAAACTAGTTATGTTTACGTGGAATGTTTGTTACATGGAAACAAATATCATTATGTACATATAAAAAAGTATATTTTGTACAAACACTAAAACTAATTTTCGAATTGCCAGTGAAACAATTGACGTATTTCACTTAGTTTTGTGCATCTTGCGGTGCCAATAAGGCTTTTTATCATGCATTTTAACCGAAGGGGTGGCCCAGTAGATATCCGTCGTTTCTAGATTGAAAGGCCGACGGTTTGAATCCCTGTGGCATCATTATACTGACTTTAAATTTCAAGCTACGTACATTTGTGAATGTTTAGTAGCAATATCTCTCGCTAACGAAAGAGGTCGAAAAAGGTTTACAACCCCTGGAAAACATGTGACATTTAAAGCCTCTCCTCGGAGAAGACGTATAATGGGTTGATAATAATGATGAGATAAATATTTTGCACAACATTTCATATCAAATTAAGAGTGCACATCCATCCCTTCCAAAAGAAAACAATCTTTTATAAAATGTTGTTGTCATCTGCAAAATTCTTCCCTGTGTAGTGACCTGTGCAATACAGCGGGGAGTTGTGTAATTACACCGTGATTGGATGGACGCTATTCAGCTGCTATGCCATTAAAATAACTCATAAGTGTAATGCTTGCTAGTTCATTAGTGTAGAGTAATTTATCGTGCCGGCTATACCGTGCTTTATTGTGGGTGATGAGGTTTGCCTACTTTATAATAGATGTACCACGGATTAAAAGCCCACAAA